TTCAAATGCAGTACCTGTGGTTTAGAGGGAAAAAGCAACTTGTCCATGGTAACACATCTAGTGATAGACCGAGAAAAAACAAAGGCAGATTTGTTTAATAGCAAAGCTGTGCTCTTAAATATCATGCTTCACGCATGCACACTTGGATACAAGTCACTTAACCTCTCTAAGACTGTACTGCGTCTGTAAAACAAAGAGGTGGAAATAGGTAATCTCTAACCATCTTAAAAAGCAAAGATGAAACTTTGCTTTTCTTGTATACTAAAGTCGATCATAGTAATTTGAAGAACAGCAGTAATATTCTGAGCTTATTTTTGTGAGTGCAAAATGTATGAACTGTCCACTCTTTTTGCTGTTATATGGTACTGGAATTTGCTATCGTCCTTAAAGAATTAATAGGCTTCAAACAACTAACTTTAGTGCCCATCACAAGCATGATCTGGCTTCTCGTGAGGCACTCACCAAGTGCATGTTTTAATTATATGTAGTCTTCTTATATTAAAAACTTATAAAATAAAATCTCACGACTATTTCCTGAACAAAAATAACTTTTTTTATTATTTGGTGTTTGATCGTTTTCCAGATTCCCCTCCTCTCAAAGTTCTTAAAGGCCATCACCAAAGTGTTACTTCTTTACTTTATCCACATGGTCTCTCTGCGAAATTAGACCAAAGTTGGATCGTGTCTGGGGATCAGGACTCATGTGTCATCTTGTGGGATATCTTTACTGGAGAAGTTTTGCATAAATTCTTTTTGGAAGCTGGTCCAGTAACAAGTCTTTTGATGTCACCAGAGAATTTCAGAGTAAGTGAAGAGAAAGAATAAAACATAAAAAAATTTGAAAGTTATATAATATTATAGACTATTAAAAAAAAGGGAAAATAACCCATGTTCCCACAGAAAAAAAAAACAGTAAGTTCTATGTATCCATAATACAATCAGATAATTTTTATATATTCCTTTCTAATCTTTTTTATGCATTTTATTATTATTACAACTTATATGATACAAATAATTTGGCTCTAAAGCAAATATTTAATCAATTCTTGGATTTACAAAAGCCACTTAATTATTTCTCTTTATGTACTTACATGTTTTTTCTTTTTTCTCTGGTTCTATATCTTAATTTTTAATGAAACAATCTTTTTTTATAAAGGTAATAGATAATGCAAAAACAAGTCAAATGATATAGAAATCTATAAATTAGAAGTTAACTTTTGCCTTCAACCATTTCCTTTTATAATGATATTGATAGTTACATTTTCTTTTTCTTAATGAATTTTTATTTGCTTATTTTTTTACAGTATTTAACAAATAATAGACTTTAACAAATATATGAACATCAACTTTGTGCTGGGCAAAATGAAATAGTTTTGGGTATAATTTTCTCATGAAATGTTAACTTAAGGTCAGCTGCTGGAGAGCTGATGTCTTTGTTCAAATACTAACAATGAACTTTTGAGCTTCCTTTGTAATAAGAGCACATGGTAACAAAGAAAACTGAGTTTGTAAGATAGTTAATTGGATTCTAAAAATTATTTCTCCATAATGATATTAAAAACCAGCTTCACATTAAACTCAGAGAAACTTTGCATTTTTGGAGTAAGACATAATGAAAACAATATTTCAGCAATATGAACAATTAAACGAAACAGTGAAATGAAATTGTGAGTTTTCAAAAAAGCTTCCATGTGGTGATGTGGGATACCTTCATATGTCCTTTATTTCTGAGGTTCTCCTTTTTTTTTTTTTGTTTGTTTTAATAATTTTTTTCCAGCCCCAAGACAGCAGTCCAAGTCAGTTCCTCTCCCAGCCCCTTTTACTTCTGCCTCTAGTCATAAACAATTTCACTCTGAGGATCAGGAGCTATTCAAGTCAAATTCAGTAAAAAGGGAGTTTATCGAAAGGGCATAGAGGCAATCTTTCAGACATCCAAGACAAAACACTACAGCAAGGGCTTAGTGGAATTTGAAGTACAAATTTAGAAACCAAGTTTCCTACCCCCCAAAAGTCTGATTTTCTGTGATTGCTCCCTTCTCTTGCTTCTTCCTATGAATTCTTTTAGCTTCACAGTTTCAAATGTCTAGGAAACAGAGTGTAATTGGCTTAGTGTGTGGTGGTCACTAGCCATAAAATTTGTGTTCCGCATGGTATGGATGTATGTGTTTAAGTTTCTTGAAGCACACTGGGCTGCCCATAGTAGAAGCTGTAAGATGGGCAAGTTTTCTAAGATGTAGGATGGTTGGGGAGAAAGGAGATATGATGTAATCTGCAAGTCTAGGCTCCACATCTATCATACCTGCCATTTTGTGATTGTTTTCCTTGAGATTTCTGTAGTCTCCTTAAAAAGAATTAGGAAAGATAACATGTTCCCTAGTGCTCCCCAGAGAGGTTAGTGATGAGTGCTGGGAGAGTCTGGAGGGATCCCAGCAGACACTTAAATACAGCAGCTGAAAGTCTGGCTAGATCAGTAGCACCCAGCATGGAGGGCCATTGTCCTAAACTATGTTCAAGGTAACCACATGCTGACTGTTTAAAAAGTGTCTTAAGGATTGTTGTCCTAAGAGCCTATTTTTGGTCTTTGTGTCTTTGAGGCTGTACATTCAGTTGGAACTATTTAATGCTTACCTCTTTTAGACTGTGTCTACACTGAGTTTCCTGTTTGGATTAGAATCTGTGTAGTTCTGGGAACAGCACCAAGTCACATTTTGAGGCTCTTAGTAGAAAATATCATTCGTGATACACTTGGGCCTAAGCTTGTGTCTTCAAATAGCTTCTTTTTGTGGCAACAAATTAGTGTTGGGGTTTATTTTATTCTGCCATTATTTCCGATGTCTAGCCTCACTGCCTGAATTTGCTGAGTGATGGTCAAGTCCTTCATTTATTTTGTAAGTAGACTTGGCCTGGAATTTTCCTTTTTCCTTTTCTCTCTTGACCTTCCTGATAGGTTGTTTAGTTTAAACTCCTCGGTGTTTAAAGCTCTTCCATTGAGTGTTACGTGGAGAGGTTCTGTAGGAAGCAGAAATGTCCTTTTGTAAATGGGGCTTTAACAAAACTTTTTTCTTATTGGGGGAAAAATCTGATTTAATCATAAAGAAAGTTTTTGAGTATTTACTTATACAAACATGCTGGTATTTTTGGTTTTTTGTTTGTTTTTTTTTTCTTTTTACAGCTAAGAGGTACTCCGATAATTTGCTGTGTGTGCAGTGACCATTCCGTGGCCCTCCTGCACCTTGAGGAGAAGAGGTGCCTCCTGCGTGCCCGGAAGCACCTTTTCCCTGTGAGGATGATAAAATGGCACCCAGCTGAAAATTTTTTAATTGTTGAATGTACAGATGACTCTGTCTACATCTGGGAAATTGAAACAGGTAAATTGAAATTTTACCTTCTTTTCATCCTTTATATATTATGATGTCCAAGCATTTGACCAGGTGGAGAGTTCCAGAGAAACACTGTGACATCCTCGCTTGCTTTAACCTTTAGTTGGGCTGCATTTGATATCTTCAGTTAAAGTCATATGTGGAAAATAAAACACAACAGCCTAAGTCAGATCCTGATGGGCTGATGATTAGCTGACAGGGCAGTGTACAGGAATCAGCCGGATATTTCTGGAAGCTATAAATAAAAACATAAATTATCTACTTTAATTATTAACAAGAGAGAAATTTAGTGTCCCACTGGTCTCAAATTATCATTAAATTCTGCCTTCTTCAGCATACTCACCATCTCAGCAACATTTGGAGCTAATTGATGATCAGTAATAATGGAATATAATTAATTACAAAACTCCAAAAAGTTGAGTCAGGGAAACTGAAAACTGAGTAGCTGAATTGAACTTTTGTTATTGTAATGTAGGGAGTGTATAGTATGAACTTTAGAGATTTTTTAAAAAGTTTTACCGTGTAACTGAAGATTGAAAGTAACAAATTTCAGGAAAATGCTGAAAACATATCAAATAATGTGAGGTAATTAATGAATATGAGTCAGGGGAGTTCACTTGAGAGTACATTGTAATGAAACTGTTGCATGATTTTTATTGATTAATCAGTGCTGGTTTTATGTTGGGTGTTATTAATAGACTGGATAGTTTATAATATTACATAGTTTAGAGTCATACTTCACCAAAATAATTGTTATTTTCTTTATATTTGACTGTTGAGTATTAATGATGATGACTAATATACTGGTGTGTAGAGGGTACAACATAGTACTAACCTTACATTCGTACCTTGTTTTACAGCTTTGATGGGCTTTCATGCTCATTTTTCCATTAGATTCTCACAACTTCTGGGTTAGGTCGGAGAGATATTATTCACCATTTTGTTGATGAGGAATTTGCATATGAGGAATTTGCATGATTTTTAAATGTTCATGATTGCACAGTTAACAGGTGATGAGCTAATATAAGAGCCCTGGGTGGTCTTTGCACTATATACACAAAATTAGGAGAATTTTAGAATTCTTAGATAATCTATTGATCTGAGTGGCAGTTGAGTATAAGGGATAAAATAGGGTCTAATGCCTGGGCTTGCCTCCAGAAACTGCTAATGAGGAGCAATTTGACCTTGGGAAAATCATTTGGCTTCTCTGCATGTCAATTTCCTTATCTGCCAAATGAGAGTAATAATACTTTCTTTCTGTCAGCATTAAATGAGCTAATACCTACAAGGCTTGTAAACAGTGCCTGTAGGTGGTAAGCCCTTAGTAATAGTTAACTATTATTGTTATTATCAAAGAATACAGCAAAATCTTGACTTCTACTTGTGAAACCTGAATCTGTAAAACAATTCTAAATGTGTATAATTGCATTTTCAATTGTGAATCTTTGGTAACTGAACATATTTTTCACAAATAATAGAATCCAGCAAGAATAAAGAAATATTTTGTCACTCACAAATGTTCGTAGCTCCACTGCCCCATCAGGATACCTTCTAGCCATGCAACTTTTTATTTATGTCTTTTTTTGATGAGGTTGAAAGTAAAGGAGAGAAGGTGAATCACTAGCACTTCTTGAGATTATGTTTATCCCCATTTTGTATTTTAATTTTCTAATCATTTTTATACACCCCAAATACATAATCAAATGTTGTAGAACATTTGAAAAAGAAAACATAAAGAAAAACAAATAATCCTGTCCCGTGACCTAAAGATAAGTGTTTTTAATATTTTGGTGTACTTTCTGGTAGGTGTCTTTTCATGTCAATAAATAGATGTTTATGTTGCATTTCAGTCCTAGCAGGATACCGAATTCAACCCAGATGGGTCAAATGACGAGACTTTAATGAAAGGACTATATATAGGGGTGTGGGTTGGAATTAGGGAACAGACAAGGAATGAATGGTGAGGGCCCCCAGCAGCTGAACATTGGCAGCATCAGGAAGCTCTTACCACCTTTAGGGCTGAAGCAGCAAGAGCAGAAAATAGTGCTGATGGAACCCAGTGAGAGCTGAAGCCAAGGAGGAATGGTCACCCCCTGAAGTCGTGGAAGAGAAACAGACCCTGCCAGAAATGCAGGACTGAAACAGAGAGAGCTAGAAGAAATCTCTTCTTTCTCTTTCTGCAGTAGCCTCCAATAGTTTAATCCAACTGAAAGTCAGAGGGTAAGGGCATTCAGTTCTGGGCATCAGATTCCCTGTGCACAGAGCAGAACACAGAAAGGTAGGAAAGGATGGTGTGTATGGTCAAATGGACAACAATCGGTAGAGTGGCCATTATGGACACACCACACTTCAATTCAGGAATCTCCTATAGTTGGTTATTTATATTATTTCCTATTTTAAATATTTGGTTTTAGAACTTCGCTATCAAATAATGCACACATGTTTAGTGCCAAATTAACCTATAGAATATTTGTTCTGAATGAGGTTGTTTGATTATCTACCTTAATAGTTTAAAAACAACCTCAACACAACCTAAGATGGCACTTATAATTGATGATATTATTGCTAGTAATCATATCAATGCCTTCACATTTGTGATGTACCTCTTTACTTTTTCAAAGCATCATCCATTGAGAGTCTCATTTCAACCCCACAGCACCCTGTGGAGGTGGCTGATGGCCCAACTTTCTTTACCACACTCATTTCTTTTGCATAAGTTTATGTTGTTCCTTTCAGTCTGGTGTCTGGTATTGGCTTTGTTGTGGGTTGCCTTTTATCTCTGCAATTCCAATTTCACTTAAAATTTAATCCACTACTTTTTCATTCCCAAGGTAGATTTCAACTGGCTGCAATGCTTCCATCACGTTTACTGTACTTGATTTCTGTTTATCCTTTTTCTGGAAAGGTGGAAAACTTTGGGAACAGGAAGCTTTTTCATTTATATTTTCATAAAGTTAGGGGAGAAAATACCAGCTAAGAACAAAACAATTAGGCTGACAAGAGCTCTATGAGGATATGGAATGTGCCTGTTTACTGATAAGCCTGGCACACGAATAAGTAAATGAATGTTGAGTGAATAAACTAACCCAAATATTCTTGGTCCTCAATAGATTGAATACAAATAAGGTCCTCTTAACATTGGCCAATTGGGGTAATTCTCAGATCATGGCTACCCAACTGTAGGTAGGTCCTTGGCTCTCTCCTCCAGGTCTCCCCTAGGGTCTTTGAAGTTCACGGTGTCTGTCTCACCTCCTCAGATATAGTCCAGTGTGTTTTCTGCTTCAGTCAACTTTTTCTGAGTCTTTGCCTTTTAGCTTTGCTTATAGATATTCTCTCCATAGCATTCAAACTTAGTTCCATGTATAAACAAACCTGTTCTTTGTTCCATTTCTCCTACTCAGCCTATTCTAAATACACAAATAAGAAATAAATTGACATGAAGGCATGGGTATTTATCACATCTGTCAACATTACAGCAACTCCCAGGCCCATAGAGACAAAATAGGAGGTGTCAGTAGGATAAGAGTTTAATATTCTAAATACACAAATAAGAAATAAATTGACATGAAGGCATGGGTATTTATCACATCTGTCAGCATTACAGCAACTCCCAGGCCCATAGAGACAAAATAGGAGGTGTCAGTAGGATAAGAGTTTAGGAGAAAGGGGTCTAGAAAGTAAAGGAAGCAGAAGGAGCCTGAAGCCAGAGGTAATTAATTCTCGACTGTGCCAAAAGTCTGCCTTGGTGGGAGTTTTGGGGAGCGGGTATAGAGTCAGTCCCTGTGCCATCCTCCATCAGGTATGAAGGATGGCACAGGAGACCTCTTTCTGGTTTTCATAAATACTTCATAACAGCCTATTTCCACTTTACTCATCGGTCTCTTTGTTAGAACACAAAGCATATTCTAGAGCCACGTACCTTCATGCCTGTTTCGTCTTGACATGGTAAGGGGTGTTTTGTTCTGTGACAGGTGGCATAGTCAGATGCATGCCAGGGTAAAGTTCGGGGTCACAGGTGGGCATGCTTATCTCGTGGAAGAGGCAGACGACTGAAGTAGAGAAGTGTTTGTGTGACACTGAGGGCCCTCATCTTCTGGCTGAAAATGCAGTGCTGCCAGGTTGGGAATGACGAGGGCATCCAGTTTTGCTTATTGATTCGCCAGATGTCCCATGATGTTTAGGCCTGATTAGGAAGGGAGAAAACTGGAGATGTCATTTTGATTAATATTTGAGCTCCCACAGTGTGTTGGCACTGACAGCTCTGGGCAGCTTGTTGACCTCATTGCTGTGAGACACACGAGGGGTTATGTAATACTGATTTTTTTCCCTCTCAGCTCTGAACTAATTGTTCTTTTAAGAATTAAATTTAAAATAATTCTGAGGGCTTTTATGTTTACAGTAATGGGTTTACATAGCAGAAAACTTGCATAACAAATTTCTTTTGTGCTATTAATATGGTAATTATTAATATTGAAGGTCTTCTGTTAAACTTATGGTTTTTTTCTTGTAAAATATCCCATATTAAGCAACTGGATTTTTTTAATGGGAAAATAAAATCATGTTTGCTTGAAAATAAAACATTTCTTGATACGATGGGTCAGAAACACTTTTTCTGAACAGGGCTGGATAGTAAATATTTTCAGCTTTATGGACCATATGATCTCTGTCACAACTACTGAACTCTGCCATTGTAGTACGAGAGAGGCCATAGACAATACATAAACAGGTGGGTGAGGCTGTCTTCCAATAAAACTTTATAAAAACAGTCAGCAGGCTGCATTTGGCTAAAAGGTATAGTTTATAGACCCCTGAGAATGATCATTTTTCTTTTTAAAGACCATTGTTTTCATAATAAGTCATTCTTAAAGCAGTTTATAGTTTTTAATCCACTATACCTCACTGACTCTGTATAGTAAGCAGGGTGGGTATGAATGTATTCATTTTGCTAGTGAAGAAATGGAATGCAGAGAGGTTTTGTGAGTATGAAG